CAGCAGTCGATCTGCGCACGCAAGGAGGTGCTATTCCTATTCTTCTTCTGGAAAAACGAAAGAGAGCTTCAAAACAGACTGCAGCGTCATCTGAAGCAAAGAGCGGACTTCCGGCGGACACTTTTTTGGCTGAGTGGACCATCTTGTTATGTACTGTCTTTGACGACACCGTGGAATCAGGCGCTGGTCAATTTTTGGACGTGTGGAGTTATTGGTATAATTTATTCAAAGCTTGTTCGTTTGTCTTGCCTTCGCCGAAAAATTTTTAAAAATACCCATCTGTCATGAATAGAAGTCGAGTTAATAATAATACTTGCTACTGAAGGAGGTAGAAGTCGCCTGGTTTCAGGGTAAGATTAGCGAGAAAAAGGCCACCAAATTTGGGCAACTTCCAAAGGTTGAGAGTTCTTAGAAACTGAATTGCCAAATGGACATAAAAATGCCAGTTTCTTCGATTTCGTTATTTTGATGAGCGCCTGATTTCACCACGATGCTTTACAAGAATTGGGTTTTTCTAACATTTTTTGACAGCGAATTTAATGGTGCTAAAGACTGCACTCGCTCTTTCTCCCGACTACAACCTGACGAAATAAAATTACTTGTTCAGTTGGTTCAAATGAGATCGGGTGTTACGTAAAACTGGTCCAAAAGGAACACACACACTCATTATTTGCCCGTTCGTTAGGGAATTTTTATCGATTGTTTTGTGTTTTTTTAAATTTGGGTTCAACACATTAGAAGTCCTTTTCTATGTGGACGTTACCTAAAACCGTTCATCAAAGGCACACATATTACATAAATGTTATGTAAATTTGAAATTTCCAAGAACACTCAAGCTTTGGGAGTCACCTAACTTTGGAGGCCATTCCTTGCAAAATTATCAAAAGAGATTTTATGTTACACTTGTTATTTGATATCTATCTTGCCTTAACACTTCACAACACACCCACTGTTTTGGTTTGTTTTGTTTTCCACAGGGGTGTATTTTGTTTTAATTCTCGTTCTTTTCAGAAAGGGCATCGAGCTAAACAAAAGCCTCACTGACAGCGGCATGCAAATTGTGTAACTTCAGGAATGCAGAGGGGGGGACCAAAACGTTTTGATGCAGTTTGTCACAGGTGGGTGCACTTTTAAGTCAAAGCTGCT